AGACAAAATACTGCTCTCTGTAGCTCTATTTTAAAACRTATTTCAACAATATAAGGTATTGGCTGAGGATTTATTAAGAGTGACCAGTGAACATGTTAAGGGCCAAAACACCCCGTTTCCTTTTCAGAGCCGAACTCACAGGACATTTCTTCAGCACAGCCGCAGCCACATAGGCACATCCACCCCACCTCACTGCAGCTGCATGTGTCTGCCTGAACTCACGTAATTCTGTTGCAGATGCTTTGCACGTACCTGCAGTATACAGAGCAATGAACCAAAGTGCACAGTACCCACACGAGATAATTAAAGACTGCTATCAGAGGACAGCCCAGCAAGCTCCTGACTGCAGTTACACGGTCGCAGCGGCAGTAAGGGAATAAAAAGACCCTTCCACACAAGTGGCAGAAGCAAAATACCTAGCTAGCTCTAAAAACGGAGCTGGAGCAGCTTCTGAAGGTTTTAAAGAGCTGGCGCCCACAGTATTTAACRAACACCAGAACTCAACTCCCTTCCACTCCATTTACCAATTATTTCAAACACTTTCAAGCAATATATCTAATTTTAAGTTGTCAAAAGGTAGCTTCCATATGAAGATAYATTATCAGTTTTGTAAGTGATAATAGCTTTAATGAATTAGCAATAAAAGCCTGTCCCTTCCTGCTACTGTTTTAAAAATGTGTGTGTATATTCACACATATACAGGAGTGTGTGTATGTGTATATATATCCTCTATATATTTTTATACCTATATTTATAGGTATATTTATTATATTTATGGGTATATTTATTATATTTATAGGTATATTTATTATATTTATAGGTATATTTATTATATTTATAGGTATATTTATATTTATACTCTTTTTTTTTTTGGAGGCGGGGGGGCTATATGAGATAACGCCTCAGTTTGGATTCTTTAGAGAATAATCTGAAAGTTACTCTGAGGTTACTGTCTTCTCGTATATGACTATTTCTCTAGAGCTGGCGTTTCTGAAGTATCATTAAGAAACCATCTGCAATGTAAAGAAATGAAAAACTGATTTGTGCTCCTCTCTAGTATTTACAACTCAAGGAAGTCAGATACACTGACTAATAACTATAAGTCAGAGATGACTACTCCAGAATTAATTTAGCGCTATCATTTGAAGCGGGCAKAGAGGCCAGCTAACTAATTTTGTTATGTTCATATCAATCCAGAAAGAAAAGGACACAATATATTGAAGTCTATCGAGATAAAAAAAGAGTGTATTGAAGAACATTTGCTATCCCTACCCTGAAGTGTTTCCATAGCAGCTGAAACAATTACTAAATGAAAGCAAAGAAATAGTATAAAAGCTRTCTACCTGAAGACAGGCCATAGACTGAGTGCCAGATTTGACTTGTTCATTTAATCATTAAACATCATCTACTTGCTAATACATCACATACATCTTTGCAGTTATGCTCATGGCAGCACAGAAATTTATTACAGTAAGAGGAATTCGTTAAAAAKGAGTATTTATGACCAACTCTGCTTTGATTACTGTGGCTTCATGTCACAGAAAATGTAAGGCTTGCTTTATGYGCTTTGCAGAACGAGGATTTCCACAGTAGAGCAAGTTGACTAATTGGTCCCACTTTCTATTCCACATAATTAAACAAAATCAAGTACTACACACAAGCTCATTTTTCCTTTCCCTCCAGAAACTTATCACAGATGACTTTCTCAGTGACATTAGAAAACAGTAATACAAATCTCTGCTACAGAGTATCCCACTGAGTAGACATCTTTCATAGCCTCCCTTTAAGCTTTCACAAGATGCACTTAATTAAAAGTCATTCGCAGTTTTAGAAATGCCAACAACCACAGCTTAAAGTCACAGATGTTTGACTTTGCAGCCTCATCTGAGAGCTATCCAGAAAATCATCTATTTATGTATTAATTAAAGGCATCATCACCACTGTGCAAACATAAAGGCTATTTCCCTGTATTCTTTATGTAACCATAAAGAATCAACTATAATCACTTTTTTTTTTTTTAAAATAAAGGCTGCAATTCCTCTAGAGCAAGCCTCCAGAAAAGAGAAAACAAGAATATTTTGATATTCTGAGCAGTGCGTAAATGTTCTGTCATCTACCTTCAGCCAGGTTAGAGAAACCAAACAACAGCTTTCTCTATAAATGAAAATGCAACACAACACTAAAATAGGTCTCAAAGGTAAAAGAAATACATAGACACTTGTGCGAGAGCAAGAAAGGATGGTTCAAATATAAGTACTTCCCTYCTTCTGTCAATTCCCATAACTGCCTTTTAGCTGCATACACATATGGTTTCAGGTCAATGGGAAGTAATGGCAGCATTTACACTCTCCCTTCCCATGGGAAATCACCCCCCAGCAAGAGATCTGGTCAACTGCCACTCACTTCTATACAACAGATCCAACCTTAAAAGCATCTCAAATTCAATGCAGGGCCCCAAGGACCTTGTGGGTTTAAAAAGCCAAATTGCACATTACTCTATTTAGAACGAGTGCTCTCAGAGCACACAATTTCRGTCTTGACTTAACAGGAAACAAAAAAAAGACAGTATCATTAAGCAATACTTGAAACTTTACGTGAGAAGCTGAGTACAGAAATTATCCAGGTTCTCTATTATGACAGCTGGGGCAGTTTGAGGGCAGGAGAGGCCATGCAAATGCACAGGAAAAAGCATAAAGTGCAAACCGCCCAGGAAAAAAGAGAGTGTGGAAATGCAGATAAACAAGAAAGGTGACTTTGGTCACAATATTTCTATACAACCTAAAGAAGAACAAGGCAGGTAAGGACTCCGAGGTGAAGTCAGATATCTGTTTCTGTTACCAGGAGCASACAAAAGTCTACACCTGTGAAGTTTCTAATTCAGATATTATCTCAAAAATGCTAATTTTAAGCCTGAAGATATTGGCCTAGTGACATATAACTTAAACTTTATACAATATCACCTCCCTGTACATATGAGAAAACACTGGAGCAGAATCTCATAGGTTTAACTTGGACAGAAATGTCAGAATTTTACCTTTACTCCTATCTTGACAAATTTAGAAAAATGAAACTACTTCTGCATATTAAAATACATAAAAATCCCATTCAGTCATGTCTTTTCTGCCATTCTTCCATTCAAACAAACTGACCCTGTGGTCTTTATAAGATGAAATAATCTTTATCTTTCCAAGTAAAGTTTCAGGAAGCAGTTTAAGTATCACGTTCTCATATCAACAAGTTGCTTTCAGCACAAGAAAGACAAATCAGGTGTGACATGAATAGGTAGGAGAAAGAAAAGAAGTTCACAGATACCAGTATTTCCTAACATAATGGTTGCAGATGTGATGAGCCGCACAGTAAAGTCCTGAGTATTATCCACATACTTGACGGGTAAACTGCCTCAGGGCTGATGAAGAGACACCCTCACTGTCCACAAAACTTGGGCTGAAATGTGRAGAAATCATCAGATACTTTTTATTTCATAATTAAGGTACTGCCCAATTCACTCCGGTTAAAAAGGTACTATACCACAGCTTCCAAACACTGACACACATTCCGTTTCAAGCCCTAATCCGATAAGAACTAGTGCTTCAAGGCTTATAAAAATAAATCAGTAAAGTTTTGCTAAGTGATAAAATGATTCTTCTGGGTTTTCTAACCCTCAGCATGGGTGTTATTTTTTTTATGAAAGAAAGGTAAAAAGCATGAAGCACAGACATCTTGGAATGCTTTTTTATTCCTCGAGATGTTGACTGTGAGCTCCAGAAACCTCCAAGCCAGGCATTTCAGTGAAATGACTGCTGACTTATCCTACCCTGGGGAAATGAACAACCACCACGAAATACACAGCTCACATTCCGAAATCCCAGCCTACCTTAGGCAGGACACCACAAACAAGTGAGTTCTGTAGTTTCTTTACCAGACTTAGCAAAACTTGCCCTTTATTTACAATGCCAAAAAAACTGAGGAAAGTGCTTTTCTGATGCTTCAAAACCACAGGTTATACCACAGCAGGTGAAGTCTGAGGAGTGAGAAGTGGTACAGCCTGCCAGGAGGTATTTACTGACCTTATCTACATAGACTTCTGTAAGTAAATCCTTAGCACGTTGATAACTTCCATCAACTTATTCAAAGGGTCTGTTAGAAAACATTGGCGCCAAGATGCAAGAAGGACTACCGCAAGTCACAAGGGAGATCCAAAAGGGATACACTAGCTTAGCCAGGACCTAGAAACGTGTGTCTGTAAGGAAAGGCAGCCTCGATGATTTGAGGCAGCACCTCTGGGCAGTGCTATTCATGAGCTGACCTGCAACAGTGTCACTCTGCTGACCTGTGACAGYGTCACTCAACGCTCTTTGGCTTCTTCCAAGTAATATTTGGCAACCGGATGGTTTCTATGKTTAGCTAAATGGTGCTAGTATACACAGATTACCGAAAGTCTTCTAATAGAATTCAAAAGGTATACTGGAAAGGGAGAAAAAAAAAAGAAGTCTCCCAGAGTGCTGGACATGACAGTATGGCAGAATGAACCGCGCTGCCACCGTCATTACTGCACACACAAGGGGTGAACTAGTGCTGCCTATCTTCCCCAAGCGCGCTAGCCGAGAGCGCGCACCGCGACGCCCGGGAGCCGCCGCCGCGTCCAGGAGCGCGGCGCAACGCGGCCGCCCTGGGCAAAGGGATCGCCCTGCCCGCCTCGTTCCTCCCGCGCGGCGGCGGCGGGAGGCAGGGAGAGAGGGAGAGAGGAAAGTTCCGCGGCGGCACCGACCCCCCCGCCCCTCCCAACGGCCGCGCCGGGCGCCCAACGGCCGCGCGGGGCAGAGACCCCGCGGCCGCCGCCACGAGCCGCGGCGCGAGCAACTAAAGAAGCCGCGGGATGAACAAACCAGCCAAGAGCCGAGGGGAGCGCGGGGGCGGCCGCGCGGCGGGGAAGGGGGCGACGCGGCGGGCAGCGCGGCGCAGGTGCGGGCGGCGCGGGGCGGCAGGTGCCGGCTACTCACGGGCAGCTCCACGCTCACTTCGGCGCCGTCCAGGAGCAGGACGCGGCAGTGCAGCGCGGGCTTGCTGTCGCCGGCGGCGGGGATGTGCACGGGGGCTCCGGCGCCGTGCGCGACCCCGCCGGGGTGCGGCGACGAGGGGAAGCCTCCGGCGGCGCCGCGCAGCCCCCCGTCCCGCTCGTCGCCGTCGCCGCCGAGCCCCCCGCGGCCGGCACCGCGCGCGCCTCCTCGCCCGTAGCGCTGCATCGACCGCCGGCCAAAGGTCCTGCGCAGGAACCGCAGCATCGTGGGGGCGCCCTGCCCGGCCGCGCACACCCCCGAGCCCGCAGCTCCGCGCC